TCATCTCTTTGTAAATTTCCTACTTCATATCCTGGATTTTTTTTCTTGTTTCATTATGTTGTCTAACTGAGGCTTCTCATATCTCATTGAGTTTCCTTAAGATAGTTGCTTGAAATTCCTTTTCAGTCATTTCAAGGGTTTCCTGCCCTTTAGGATCTGGTATTTGAGAATTATTGTATTCTTTTGGTAGTGTCATATTTTCTTGGATATTCATATTTCTAATATCTCTATGTTGATGTCTCATCATTTGGTAGAGCTGTTGCCTCCTCTATTACTCTGGAGTGGCTTTGAAGAGAGAGACTTCCTCTTCTTATTCCAGTCTCTGCTTGTGACTCTCCTTGTATCAATGCAGTTGAGTGGCTGGTGGGCTGCCTGCATGGTGGCTGTGGCTTCTGTTGTGGCAACAAGCCACTTTTGCAGCAGCCATGGCTGTGGTAGTGGCTGTGGTGGGCCACTTGTGTGGAAGTGGTGTTTTTTGCCTTCTCCTACCTTCTTCCAGGCTGAGGATGCTGCCCACAGCTCCTGCCTAGGGCCCTGCTTGTGCTCCTGCCTTCTGCCAGGGAGGGCATGCAGTTCCTGCCTAGGACCACATGTGTGTTCCTGTCTTATCTCAGACGGGGTGGGGTGTGCTTCCCACAGTTCCTGCCTAGGCCCCCATACGTGATCCTGCCTCCTGCTGGGCAGTGGGGGCCACCCATAGCTCCGGTATAAGGCCCCATTTGAGAAGTAGGAATTTGAACTTGAACTTTAGAACATGAAAGAAATGAAACTCTTTCTGGAGTAAGACCGGCATCATCACATCAGGAGACTTTCCTATCAGGGTCACCAACTAAAAATGAATGAGTAGTGGCATCTTGTTACACAGCTTAGTCTATGCATATTACCGTTTGTGTTTATTTCCCACTTGTCATTCCCTAGCTTTTAGTAAAGTCTCATTTAAACCTTCTAGTTTTGTTTCTACTGTTCTAAGGGTAGAGAATGGACACTTTCATGTATTGAGCCATGATGTGGTAATGATAGTGTGAGTTAGTGAGATTTTCTAAGGGAGTCATTTCCAGAACAAGACTCAAAGCTGAGAGGTCTACATTCCCTTCCCAAGAGAAGATACTTTTCTCCTGGACAATCTTGGAAAACTGGAATTTGGTTTTATTAAAAATGCAAGTTAGATTTACTTATATTTTGAGAGTATCATGTTTAAGAAGGTGGGAAGAAACAAAGTTGGTGATAGTCTATTTATACATAGATGATGCCAGAGCTTTGATAAACTGACCCCTAACCTTAACAGTGTACTAAGAGGTCATTCAGATACTGGGCTATATGTCTTCCCAGTTCACAATCTGAGTTGGCTGTAATATATGTGGCCTCATCCACCCTTTCCCCTCTAGTTACATTTGTGTCAACAACACCCATATCAACATACCTTGTTCACATCTCTTTCTGGTGCTCTATACCCACTGATAGAGTTTGGATGTTATTGTCCCCCAAAAACTCATGTGGAAATTTGATCTTCAATGTGGCAGTGTTGGGAGCTATTTGAGTCATGGGGGTGGATCCATCATGAATGGATTAATGCTCTCTCTAGGGGATGGAGGTAGTGAGTTCTCCCTCTATTAGTTCTCCCTCTATTAGTTCCCACAAGAGCTGGTTGTTTAAAAGACCCTGGCACCTCCCCTCTCTGTCTTGCTTCATCTCACCATGTGATCTGCTTGTACCCGCCAGCTGCCTGCTGCTTTCTGCCATGAGTAGAAGCAGCCCGAGGCCTGCATCAGACACAGCTGTCCCAGAATCGTGAACCAAATAAATCTCTTTTCTTTATAAATTACCCAGTCTCAGGTATTCTGTTATAGCAACATAAAATGGACTAATTCCCCCCCGTATCCATTTGTTCATTGAACATCTTTAATTCAATGTCTCATCCACGACTGAACTCATCTTCCTTCAGAGTTACCCAAATTCCACCCTGTTGTCCAAGCTAGAAAACTAGCAAGAATTCCAGAGCTTCATTCTCTTCCTCATCTATACTGCCCCCCACTCTCAACCAACTAATTCATTACCGAGTACTAGCACATCCATTTCCTAAGTCTATTCCCATTTTCACTATTTAACATCCTTCACCTTGGATCACAGTGGACAATGGAATATTGTGGATACCCAAAAGTCTGGAAAACTGAATTGTCAAAACCCTCCAATATGGATCACTAATTTTTCAAAGCACTGAAAGCACAACTAAGTGTACTCAGCATGGTAGTGATGCAGAATAAAGTGTAACCTGTGACTTAGGAGCTGCTTCAAGAACCAACAATGCTGGGAGGAGAAGCAGTCACTCTTATTGGGCACAGAGGTGCTGGTTTAGCACAGTAATGTGCTAGAAAAAAGCTGTTTTTCCTATGGGCCCCCATCTCTATCCCAGAGAAACCCATTAGATCCTCACCAAAATCAACTTTCTTCTTGAGTCAGACTGAATTCTTAAGTGTAGGTGGTAGACAGAATGGGGTAGATGACTCAATGTAGACATTGCTGCTATTGGCAAAACAGTGCAAACTACATTTCCTGATGATAGTGGACAGTCATCCATGAAGGAAGACATTTATTATTTCAATAATAGCAAAATTGTATTATTTTTTAACTCCTCCCCTTCAAATCCTCTAGCACTCAATACAGTGCTTGGCATATAGTTTCATATTAATAAATGTTAATTCGTTATTGCTTTTTCTTGAATTTAGATACTAAAAAGAATTTATTTAATGTACCTTCTTCCCTTAAACCTGAAAATGTATGATAATATGAAGTCTTTGCATCATATTCTTGCTTGTCCCCTTTGGTTGTTAGGAAAAGTCAGCAACATTCAGCAAGAATGTCAGGGATTGAACTGTTTAACAATTGGCTGATGGTCAAGAATCAAGTTCATCTAAACATCAAAAGTAATAGTATTCAGCATTTTAAAAAAATGAAGATGTTTAACATGGGGAAATGCTTATGATATAATGTTAAATTAAAAATGCTTCTTTAAAAAAACCCACTTAGCTGCTACAACATGGATGAAACTTGAAAACATTTGCTAAATGAAAGAAGCCAGCCACAGAAGACCACATATTGTACCATTTCATTTATATAAAATGCCAGAGTAGGCATCCGTAGAGGCAGAGAATAGATTAGTGGTTACCAGGGGCCCTTGGGAGGAGGGGGAAATGGTGAGTGGATGCTAACAGGTACCGGGTTTCTTTTTGAGGTGATGGAAATGTTCTGGAATTAGATAGTGGTAATGGTTGTACAACATTTTGAATATATAGAAAACCAGTGAATTGTACACTTTAAAATGGTAAATTTTATGTTATATGAATTTTATCTCAATTTAAAAAAATCACCCAAAAAATCCTAAAAATTAATTACATAGGCATTAAAAATTACAAAAGATAATTCATTTGACGTGTTTAGTACAGGGTCTGACATACAATATGTGCTCAGTATTGTTAACCATTATCTTATGGTTAACTGCAATAGTATATGGAAAAGTAAAAACAATTTCACCTTGCATGTATTTGAGCTGGTGAGTTTGTGAAGTAATTTTTGCACTTATTTTTATTTCCAGTAAAGCTCTGATAATATTGCTATAAAATAAATATTTTTTAAAGGATTTGAAAACAAAAAATAAAAGCTTTATAGACTTAGACATCTGTCTTTTGAGCCTAAGTTCCTGTGAAGAGCTTGCATTGGTGGAGCTACTCAGCTCTTTAGCGACAGAATAAATGATGAGAAAAGGGCACAGATATGTTACAGCATAAGAACAAGATAGAGAAACCATTCTTTCATTTATCCAGTGTATGCACATAGTCATTTGTTAATAAGTGTTTACTCTATACTTAACTTTCTCGTCATCCACTTTAATCTTAGATTAGATTCCAGAGGGCAAAAAGGCACATAGTTAATTTACTTAATATAATGCCTAGCATGATGGCATGGCTTGATAACTATTTCAGTGATAATTAAAAATATTTTTTCTTTGCCAATAATTCTTATTTAATCAAGCCAAAATTAGTGTACCAGAGAACTATTCTTGGGCTTTGATTAAAAAACCACAGAAGATTTAATCTCTTTTCTGCAAGTACCCCAAAACAGGAACAATGCTGTTTTCATAAATCTGAGTCAAATGCAATTCAACACTACGGTTAATTTTATAACTATAAAAAGTGTGTGTGCATAATAACGAGGAAGGACTGATTAAGACCTGGAAAAAATAGGCTGATGTAATGACATGTGATTTTTTTTCTGTTATGATTCCTAGTATTGCTTCCTGAACAATAATTTTTTTATAAATATAGAAATAAAAAACAAATCACCCCTGAACCTCTGAGACAAGGCTGCTGAACTGGCAGTTGTTTATCCAGACAATGTGGGCATGAAGAGATGACATTCTGTGCATCTTCTCTCTTAAACTTGCATCTTTGAACTTGAACTTGAAGAAGAATCCCTAGCTGGGGTCTTAGTTGTTTCCCTCCCTTGTTTCTTTCTTCATTGTTTTACCATCATTCTTATATTTAGCATAAAAGCTGCAGAAAGGACAGACAGCTTTCTTGGACCCGAGATCATGTGACTCCATTTTAAAGCTGAGGAAATCAAGGCTCAGAGGTAATCACAACACCTTGGGCTCCTTGTTTCTTTCTTCATTGTTTTACCATCATTCTTATATTTAGCATAAAAGCTGCAGAAAGGACAGACAGCTTTCTTGGACCCGAGATCATGTGACTCCATTTTAAAGCTGAGGAAATCAAGGCTCAGAGGTAATCACAACACCTTGGGCTTTAGAAGAGTCTTCTGAAGCAGCTAATCCCATCCTATTCCCACCATTTGACAATAGGAGAGGTTAGAATTATAGCCCAGGTTACATAACTAGTAAGTGGTGAAACCAGAGCTCGAGCCTGCTCATCTGACACGTGTTCTTCCCAAGCTACCTCTGTACCTGCTTGGGATCGTCTTGCCTGTGTGGGGAAGGAAGCCAAAGGATGGTGTCCTGGGTCCATGGCTGGGGCTGCAAAGATCCAGGTAACTTCCTTACCTTTGGGGATTCCTTGTTGGCCTGCTGAAGGCCTCCATAGGCCTATACCATTCAGGGAGGTTGTAGATCTTTACCTTCTCTAGTTCTGGGATTGGCCCTACCAGATGGGACTGGCCTGCACACTCCCAGGTCAGCAGCCTTTGGCTTTGGGAATTTCTCTGTGCTCCTTAATCCAGGCCAAGGTTCTGACTCTGTTAATGGATAAGGAAGAGTTGTGCCCTGTGAGATCCTGACCTCATCTTGAGACCTGGAAAATCATCCAGTGATTTTCCTTGTCCTGCATCTATTCCCAAGCTTGTTGGAGACCAAGATAAAACACACCAATTCACCAGGTATCAACTCCTAGGTGAGGTCATTCATCAACCACTTCTTGTACTTGAGGGTCCTGGGGTTACATCACTGACTCTCCCCACTGCTTTTCCAACACTAGGTTGGGGTTTCTATTCTTCTTCTCAGTAAAAAAATAAATATTGGAGTACAATTTGTGGTACTCAACTTCAAGAAAAGCTCAGTAGGAAGTTTTAATTGGCAAATACAGTAACCTATTCATCGTGCATGGCACCTTCGATTACTTTCAAACTTCTCTGCGTGGCACATGGCAACTCTTATTTTTCCCACAAAAACCCATATCTGGCTAAAGGTTGAAAAATAGCAAGTACATTTCTTCCTAAGTACCCTGCATTCATTTGGGGTGGAGATGATTAGAGGCACAGTTAGTCATTAGTAATATAAACCCCAAGATCTGGTCACTTGGAGTTCTTTCACTACTCAACAGAGTGCTCTTGTGGCTGGTTTTTGAGCACAGGCACGTCTTTATTTTTACATACTGAGCTTTCTTTGACATACAAGCCAAATATTTACTTGAAGAAACCTAAGTTGCATGAGAGAGAAATGTTTGTTTTTTAAAGCCCTTTTTGAGCATTAGAGTATCCTTATGGCATAATATAGGTATGTACATATAGAACAGATGAACGTAGGCAATTTATAAAACAGGAAGTGATGTCATGCTTTTTAAATTTATTTAAAATGTTTTGAATCCCTGGTGTTCTTAACCTTTCAGAAGTCCCTAACACCAAGTTTTAAAATATGAACCATATAGGATTGATAATAGAGTTGTTTTGTTTGTCTTTGTCTTAGCTACAGTTTGAGAAATGTTTAAGTGTATATGTTTGTTCCAAAAAATGGTTTAAAATTGTACATTCACAATTTAGTATTGTGCATATACTACTAAATGACCAGAAATGCATTCAGTAGTGTATTCACAAAATAAGGAGATCAAGGCAAAGGTGGAATATGTAGGAAAATAAAATTAAGCTCAGGGTAAGATTATAACACAAAATGCATCTTGTGAGGTTCATCTATTTGGTCTACTAGTGAGCATGAAAAGGATACCTGAATTTAAGGGAAAATTTTGTATTAATTATAATTCATGTCTCTTTTCATTGCCCTAGAGTTTTTAGCTGTGCCCAAACAACTCTGAATTTTCACAAACTAATTACAGTATTTGAGTTTGTGAATTTGCATATCCAGCGATATCCTCCTTGAATCTTCCACCGTTAGTGATTTTACTTCCAATTTGCTGTCACACATCAGACATTGATGAAGGAAAAAAGATGGGAAAATCATCCCAACTCACTTATTTCTTGATTTTAAAAAAAAGATGTGCGTGTTGGGAGGAGGGGAGTGTGGAGAAATTAGATGTCATTAGAACTTTTTAGGACAGGATAAAAAAAGAATGATATTTTTAAATGTGTAATTTTTAGTTATCAAAATCAGCATTAAGTTGTGTTTTTAACACAACGTGGAGAAATTAGATGTCATTAGAACTTTTTAGGACAGGATAAAAAAAGAATATTTTTAAATGTGTAATTTTTAGTTATCAAAATCAGCATTAAGTTGTGTTTTTAACACAACTGAAAGATTTCATATAAGCATCTTAAGACATGATGAACATGTCCCTACACTCACATAATTATAAGCCTCAGTGTATAAGGTACTCGGGATCAAAAACTTAGAAAAAAGCCTCTTGATCAGATAAACTTGACCATGTCCTTATGTAGAAATAGCTGAAAAAAATACAAAGCATTAGAAAACATAGTTGTTTGGTAATATGATAAGTAAATCAAATTAATAGAATATTATGTTGCTATTAAAATTATAAAAGTTGCATAAACAGGGAAGAGTACCATAAAAATTTATTGTAAAAAGAGTACTTATGATAAAAACATGAGAAAAATACAAACTGATATGTAAACTGTAAAATATCTCCACAGGTAGACAAAGAGTAAGGGTGGTGTAGGCTGGCCGGTTAGCTTTGCCCGTTACAATGCGTCTTTATAACACCAGTGTCATGTGTTCGGATCCCCAAACTGTCCAGCTACCAGAAAAAAAAGGTGGTGTGTAAAAACAATATAGTTATATTGCATTGACTAAGATGATGAATTATTTTTCTTTCTCATGGGATTCTTTGAATTTTTGTCATTATAATAAATGTAATTGACCAGCAAGAAATGAAAACAAAAGGTTTTATCTGAAGAATAATTTTTACAGATTTACTGAATGATGTGTACTTCTACTCACTATTTTTTTTAATGTGACTTTTTTAAGTCCTAATTTTACAGACTCATGGGAGACTTAAACTGGTTTTTTTGCCATTAAAATTTGCTTTTTGTTTGTTTGTTTGTTTTGGTATTTTTTTCCTTCACATTGTGTAAGGAGAACTCGACAATGTTCATCTTTTCTTCTTTTCAACTCTTGTTTTTCTTAGGCATTGCCATAGGAATCTTGGTTCGAGAATACAGCAAGCTCTCAAGTCTGGAGAAATTCTACTTTGCTTTTCCTGGAGAAATTCTAATGAGGATGCTGAAACTCATCATTTTGCCATTGATTGTATCCAGCATGATTTCAGGTACCTTGAGAAAACTGATGTTCTCTAGGATTATTTAAAAAGACTTCACCAAAGTTCTTCTTTTCTAATGATGGAAAAAATTGAAACGCATCAGATGCATCACACACACACTCCTCACTTAGAAAGTGTGGTATGTGAGAGTGCTTTGAAAAGTTCATGGAAAATTTGAATTAAAAGATCATACGAATCCTTCCATGAACTTTCTGAAGGCCCGTCATATTTGCTTGGGTGGAAATATTTCATTATTCTGAAAGTGGCATTGCTTTTTTGTATGCTGTACCTATAGCACTTTTCACCACAGCTCAAATCTTCATTTGACCAGCGTATGATGTCTTGGGAGAAAGATGCCATTTTCTTTTCTTTTTTTTTCCTTTTTGTCTTTTTTTTTACTGACCGGTAACGGGATTGCAACCCTCTGTGTTGCGCCCGTACCGGGGACCGGCAACGGGATCGCAACCCTCGGTGTTGCACCTGCACCGTGCTCAGCCAGTGAGCGGGAACCGGTCTCCACATGGGATCCGAACCCTCAGCGGGAGCGCCGCCACGCTCCCAAGCGGCGTACTTCTCCAGTGCGCCACCGGGCCGGCCCGAAAGATGCCATTTTCAAACATATTATAAATAAAATGCTTTTGTTTGAAAATATAGATAGATATAGGGCACACAAGGGAAAAAAGAATATTTGGTCATTTAAATGTCAGCTAGAGTCCTCAGAAAAATGGTTGTCCATTTTGATCATGTGTTTAGTAGTTTACTCATGTGTTTCCCAGCTACAGCTGTCCTGCCCCCTTACCTGTGAGGAGCTGCCTTCGTGGTCCCTCTGCCTCACTCACTTCCACGTCTCCACAGAACTCAGAACTTGTTACATATCTGCCCTGGAAATTTGCATGGGGACCAGCAGCCAAGTGCTGTGGGAAAAGTTTAATTATAGGTTTGCACCATATTCTCAAAGCCTAATATTTTAAAATCTGGACTTGTGACACAATTGAATTTAGAAATGATGTTTCTCTTATTGGTCATTATATTGCAGGGTTCCTTTAAAGAGCAAGCTCCCTTATGTAGATAGAGATTAACTTGGTTTACAAAAGTGTCATTTGTCCAGGTTTGGTAAGCTTCCTGTGTACTCCGTAGTTTCATGTACTTGTTTTAATTCTGGCAGTTGGTAAAATGTGGCATGACAATCACAGGTTTGAAAATCAAGGTTCTAGGTAAACATGAAATTATGAGTCTTGGCTTGTCCTCTTCTGGAACATTTCTTTCCATTGCCACTGAAAAGGCCTGGAACTGATCATTTTTGTATACTGGACATGGACCGGGGGTAAGGGAGGGTGGATGTCAGGATCTGCTGGACCCAGCGACTGCATTGCTTGAAGAGTTGTCAGTTTTAGCAGCTGAATTTCCCAAGTGCCAAACACCAATCAGACTAGATTCCATTAGGAGCTGTGTTCTTAAATAGTCTTGGTGTTTGGGGCTTATTAGGTGCCCAAAGAGAATACTGAATTATTTTTATTTATGTATTTAACTATGCCTTGAAATGCCTGGTTTCTTTTAAGGCTAGCAGCCTTAGGGACAAAGCAGCAGACCCATGTAGTATGTTTCTGTTTTTGTTTTAACTTTAAATTGTAGTAAGCATTTAAAATTTGGAAGATTTCATGTAAATATCCATATTTCTGGCTTTCTCTGAGAAAAAAATAGTATCTGGAAACACTGGACCCGTTTCTACACACCAACAGTGGTCTGGAGTCAAGAGACAGCTACTCTATTTAGTTAGAGCAAATGCATTTTATTATGCCTTAGTCCCCACCACTCCTTATTACCTAATATCTTGTTCACTTCACTCTTTTACATAACTACCTGGCCCCTGTAGTCATTGTGGTTATAATCCCTTAGAAGTTTGTCTTCATCAAAGATTGTTAATCTTTATGTGGACTCCTTTGAGAACATGATGAAAGCCTTGGACTCTCCCAAGAAAAATATTCATAATTGATGGGCCGGCCCGGTGGCGCACTGGATAGTGTACATAAAAGAAACTTTCCTGCTAAATTAATAGATAGAAAAAAAAAAAAGAACATCTGGTGATATAAAAATACTTGATAGCTATTTTTTTAAAAAAACAGGAAGAATCCCTCTATGTGATGGTAAGAGGTCATGTTCATCAGGGAAATTTGAATATAGACTGGCTATTAGATAGTATCAAGAAATTGTTGATTATTGTGTTAAAGTTGATAATATCATGTAGTTATATAAGCAAATCTATTTTTTTAAATGCATATGTAATTAGGTAGGGATAAAATGACATAATGTCTCGAATTACTGTAAAACAGAAAAAGAAAGGAGAGAGAAAAGGCACAGTAGATATATAATCTCAAGGCATTTTCAGAGACAGGCAGTGTGGGCACTAACGGACAGAATTCTACCCCTAATTTACATCCTGAAGAACACACTGCAGCCGTGCCAAGGAATATCTGTGCTTGGGGCCTGTTAAGAGTTAGGTTTGTCAGCCGTGTTTATGTCAAACCACCAGAGAAATAGCAGGGGAAATGGCTTGTGAACATGCCTGAGAATTGTGGCTCTGGAAAAATCCTGGTCCAGGTCTCCCCAGCCAGTGAGTTTAAATTCAGGACATATTTTCTTTAATACCCAAATTATGACAACTGGAACCTCTTACGACCAGTACAGGAACAGAACAGCACCTCCTGTCCTACTCCCAGAGGTCCCCCTAGCAGCCCTCCCGGATGCTCTTAGCTGTGCTCAGGAAGAGGCCCCTGCTCTCCACCACCGCCAGGGCCGGTTGTGCTCCACCGGGTGCAGCTGCACCCCCTGGTGTCTGCTGCAGCTGCTGTCACACCTCAGATACTGAGGAGCGCCCCCTTTGCCCATGCATCCTAATAGAGGAGCAAGAGCTTAATTCTCCAGAGTGCAGCCGAGACCAGACTGCTACTTGGGACAAAGCTGCGCTAAAAGTTTGGGAATGACCAAAAGTAGATGAAACCCTGGTGGTGACATCCAGCTACTCCCCGAAGGGGCTCTTCCAGGGTCCCTTACAGGGCTGCCCCTCTGCTTAGCTGCCAGCCTTTCTCCAGGAGGCTGAGGCCAGCTTATGCCTCCACATGAAGATGTGCCAAGCACTGGTGCACCCCAAGACCCAGCACCTGACAACGGGTTCTGAGAAGGAAGTTTCCCTATCACACAGGCCTTCCTGTTTCCTGATTCCTCTTCCGGGGATGCTTGCCAGTGTGGAATATCCACTTCAGAGAAAACCCCCCTGGCAGCCACAGAAGATAGTTTTGTGGGCCCTCAGGAGCTCAGGGAGAATCAGTATGACAGTGACTGCTGAGTTACTACATACCCACCCAGCTTGTAGAACTTGGAGTCTGTCCAGGTCAGGCTAGGCCAAGTCCCTGCCAGTTCCTGTGCACATTTGCTCTTCCAGAAGCTCATTCCTAACCATTCCTGTGAGCCTCAGCTCTGGATTTCCTACAGATGCCTGCTTCAGCAAGAGCACACACGGCTCCTCAAGAAGGAGCACACACAGCTCCTTGAAGCAGCACCAGTTTGCAGCTCAGTGCATTCCAGGTTTATACCAAACCAAGAAAACTCCCTCCTTTCCTTCCCTCATTCCCCCAAGCCACTGATCATGAGTCTTACGAGCAATGCAAGTAACGTGACCATACACTAGCCATCAGGAGAAAACATTTACATTCTTCTATCAATGACTTTACAGTTCCTGCAAGAGCACTGGATGAGTGATTGGATTTACATGTTTGGGGAGCTTCTTCAAAGATAAATCTCCACCCTTCAAAGATTTTTTTTTTTAATTGCTCCAGACTTTTAAATGATCATTACTCCAGCTTCTACATCAGGATTTCAACATTTTTAGGGCTTGATCAATCATAGAGCAGATTTCCTCTACCTTTTAACCAAAAAAAATTTTAAGCCTCCTAAAAGCTTAGATATAAACAGTACTCATTAAACAACAGGCAGATGTAGAATACATATGTGAGTAGGGTGCCTTTCAAGCAGGAGTGAGCAAGGTTTTTCTATAAAGGGCCAGATAGTAAATATTTTAGGCTTTGAGGGCCATACTGTTTCTTTCCAACTACCAATTCTACTTGTCATGGGAAAGCAGCCATGGACAGTACGTAACTGATCGGGGGTGGCTGTGTGCCAATGAAACATTTACAAAAACAGGAGGCCAGCCAGCAGGTGACCCCTGCTGCAGATGAAAGGCAAGGCTAGATTCTAACTCTCAAGACACAGTCAAGTTGACACTGAATCCGTGTAACAAAATAAACCACCACACCAGGCAATGAAAATAGAGGATGGAGCAGAAGAAAGGGAAGTTGGTCAAGGTTTTTGGAGAACCTTACATTTAAATTCAGGCTTTGCAGGAGATAACACACTTGGATGGTTTGGGCCAGGAAAGGCATGTCTTTAAGGCTACATATTCATTTACTCAGAGGCAGCTGTGTACCTGGAAACGATCTCACATCCTCCAGTGGAAAGAACCATACCTTGTGCCTCCCTGAGACAGGGCTCAGTTTTATTCAACAAATATTTGTTACCCTAACTACATAAAAACGGACTAACAGAAAGCCACCTCTAAGAGGGTGAGGTCCTGCCACCCACCTGGCCATGGACCCAGGTCCAGGAGTCCCCCACTGGCAAGAAGATGTACGATGTGAGGAGGTACATATCACTTGGTTGTACAACTTGCTATCAGATATGAGCTACTGTTCATAAACAGGTGACTAAGAGCATTTAATGTCAACTTCAGCTGTGGGGGAAGTATGCATGCTTCTCTTGAAACACTGGTGGTTTGTTATACAGTTCAGTTTCTATGAAAATTGCCATTTCAGCGTGGTTTATAAACTTAAAACTGCACACCAGGGAAGGAAAGGTTGTAGCCTAAGACTGCAGAGTCTTCTTGCCTCCTTTGTCACATCTGGAACCAGTGGGCTCTTCCTGAATTGTAAGTGCCTCCTATCTCTTTCCTCCGCCCT